GTTTGTCAAAGTTATTTTCGAAAGTAATACAACGAACAAACACAGCTAATAATTTTGACTATATTAACCTTTTTCCAACTCGAAAAGAAGCAAATAGAAAACGGGTACTCAGTTTAAGTTCAGAATGTATTACAACAGACAGCAGATGCAACAAAAGTGAGTCTCGCAACAATTGCAAGTATTAAAATTGCCCTCTGATTGGTCAATACTACTTCAGAAACGCGTTTGTAAAATGCTAGTGGGAACATATATTAAAATTCAATAGTAATTAACCACCAGTAGCTTTTTGTAGGTGATATCAACGACATAATCAATGGACATACGTTTTTTGCCACCAGTATCACGTGACTTTAAAATGGTATTTGTCGGACTATACCCAATAAACCCATCCGCCTATAGCGATATAGTGCTCATAAGTCAGCATTTTACAATTAAATATTATCTCGAAATCCACCACCCATAAGTATAGGAAGATATTGGGAAAATATTTAAATTAAACCAGGATTCCGAGAAGAATATAATACACAGGGTGCGGTCCATTAAAAATAACATGCTGCTTCGACTTTTCAGTAGAAGCAACAACACCGCGTAATTGAATTATGATACATTTCCCATATCTTCTACAAGTTCTACATCAACAGAGATAAATACGTCAATCGAAATGGATATTTTTCAAAAAAACCGCTTACTCTCACCTATGTCCGAAAGGAGCACAGTTTTTAAAAATCGAGCTCGTGACACAAGAGTCTGGGGAACAGACAGGTGGAGCTCCGTACTTTCCCGAACGTGTAGCGAAGCGAGGAGGGCGTCGAAGTTCCGTCCGCCATACGTATTTTAGTCACATTTTATTATTATTTAGACATAGGACTCATAGGTACGAGAGAAGAGAAGTTTTTTTCTAAATTCAGGTCAATTATTATGTGATTATAGGTTTATAAATAAAAAACGGTATCATTCAGATAAGTTATTGAAAAATAATTTTTTTTCTACGGATGTACCATTGAACTTTGGTACCATGTAGGATATTTTTTCGGATATTTTCCATGCTAGGTAGGTATAATTTGCTCAAAATCTCGTATGTATACACGATTTTCCTATAAGTAAGGTATATATTTCAATAATTTTTGGACAAAATATTATTTAAAAATGACTAAAATGAGTGTTGTACAACAATTTTGCATTGGTTATTATTAAGATACCTACATGTATACCTGGGCATATTCCATACTTATTTAATTTTGGTATTTGTTTTCAATTTTTAACCATTGAGCCCTCTCTATAAAATAGACCGTTACCTACTGTTCGTAATATTTTGTATTTAGCAATTTCATCAAAAAGATGTAATATTGATCTATAGAAATTAGAGTACGGAAGCTTTGAAGGCTCAACATTTAGATTCAAGTTTTTTTTTCCATAACTCAGAATAATTTCTATGATGATCTCGGAAATAATCCCGACTCACAGATTTATCTCAGGAATAATCCTGTAACATAGGCGATAATAAACAACATTAATAAATACATATTTAAACTTGTATTTCAATAATTATCGTTTTATCCGAGCTTGGTTTTCTGCACTAAATATAATAATTTTTATTAAAAATTATCGAATATTTACACGCAATCTTGTTGGCCAGGATCTATTCGTCGTCGGCGGCGCGCGGAGCGATGGCCATGATATCGTTCGGCATCTTCCAGAGCTCCGTCTGTCTGCTCCCCAGACTCCGCCCATATTTATGCATTCCTAGGAATAATAAGAATATTATTTATAATATTTACCTCAGCGTCTTCCTTCCAGTTTCCATGATGTACCTGATACTCGGATGAAATCTACGCTTTCTGGCAACTGCATTTTTAATTTTATCACTAATAATAATTATTCGTAAACAAAATATTAAGGAGGGAGCACCTGGCATTTGTTTACTAGGTAAAATAATAACACTGAATGATAATAGAGAGTTTTCGTTGTATTGGCAAATTTGAACGGTTAACCATAACGAATACGAATACAAAGCCGCTATTTGACAGATCGTAAATAGTTATTATCCTGACAAGTGTGGAAAGTTATACTTTCCCGCACGCGAACTGCGGGAAAGTTACTTTCCGCAAGAGTTCGGATCAAGACATTTTCTACAAGCACACACTTTATATATTTTTTTTACTACTAACCTGAGAAATAGACATTATTCAATCTATTTTTCTAAGAAAAAATTGAATTTCTCTCCCTAGGTTAATAATGAAAATAATGAAAAAATACCTAGGTTAATAATGAAAATGACGTCATGACGCAAGGATATTGTCATGTTTCTATTGGTTCAATTTCAATTTCATACGTCAATTTGAAAAAAAAATGCAGGTTTCTGTAGGTACATAGGAAGTTATATAAGCTGTTAATAGAGGGCAGCACTTTCAAGAGGGCGTTCACAAAAAATAATTAGAACACAGATTTTAAACAAATTTTTTATTTTTTACTAGCAGTAGTAAAAAAAATTCTATATATTCCTCGGTAGAGAAAGTCATTATATACCTCAAGCATTATAAACCTCGGCGCTGCGCGCCTCGGTTTATAAAAGCTTTCGGTATATAATGACCAACTTCTCTACCTAGGTATATAATGTACTATTTTTAAATTTTATTTTAAATAACAATCTAGAAAATTTTTATTTATTACTAATATGGATACTACAAGTACAGTTCGTTTCATTAACTTTGATAACATTTTAATCAGATAACCATAGCAACCCTATAACCACATTAACCACGCGACTTAAGCAGGTTAGTTTTCATTGGTTTTAGTAAATTCTATACAGGTGTTCTAGGTATGCCGTGCGGGAAAAAGTTTTACCCGCACGCCGTGCGGGAGAAAGATAGTTTCCGAATTAAAATGCGTGCAGGAAAGTGGACAAAAACGCTTGTAGAAAAAATAGTTTTCGTTCAATCTGCTTAACGTTAGCGTTAAGTCGAATTCGACAAACATAACCTATCTTTAATGATTTGTGTTCACATCATAGACACTTTGTTTTAATTTCCTAATTCCTAGTACCCAAAATTCATTAATTTTCCTTATGGTTTTGACAAACCAACTACAAAAGCCTATTTAGATGCATCGCCAATGGGTTATTGGTCAATATGTGTAAATAATATCGTCCACACCTAATTTGGTGTTGAATCCATTTCGAAAACCAAAAACATTCAACAACAAAAGCAAACCACAATATAAAAACATAGGAACTACGCGTTTCGTTTTCGTTATGGCTTTGTCTTCCGTCCGTAAGCTCCCGGCCCTTATCGGTAACGATGACGATAAAATGATAACTCAAATGTCAAAGTTGTGAAATAGCGGCTATAGGAATCGCTTTTAAAAGGCAACGAAAACTCTCTAATAACCGACGAACTAGGGGGCAGAGTGGTTGTATAGTGCAAATTCGAATAACTAAGTAACCGACCGACGTACTGAATTCGGGATCAACTGGATAGTAAAGTCTGTTTTTTTTTTGAAGATAAGTCAAAATGACATTATGTGGGCAGTACAATGTAAAATTGTCACTGCTTTCAAATTTTTTACGTAGGAAAGGCTTGTGTTGCCAACATAGTTACTTAATTTTTGACTTGGGGAATTATCTTTTAAAAAAACAGACTTTATGTTATTTATGGCGTTTCCGATTCTACCGAGATCGGAAACGCTATTAGAACACTCAACTCGGCTGCAGTCGGATTTCTGGATCGACGGTTATATAATAATATGTGTCCCGTCCTGCATGAGGTTTGATACCTACCGTCCTAATGACAACGACTATGTCCGCATAGCCTAGGGTGAAGTAGCCTCGATCGTTGAGTTCTCCCAGAAGTTTATCCACGACTAGATTCTACAAGAGTGGTGAAAGTACTGCGCTCTGTGGGCATCCTTTTGTCGCGGTCACTTTTAAAGAGGTTCAAGCAATAGTCGAGTTTATATTCCTGTGTTTTAGCATGGATTTGATCCATCTGCATATGGAATCATTATTCGCATGTTGCCCAGCAGCTCTGGCTATGGAGTTGAAGGAGGTGTGGTCAAAGGATCATTTTTTGTCTAGGAGTGCCACTAGTACGATTTCCTTGTTTTCTTACGAATTCTCTATTCTTTTCACCAGATGGTGTAGAGCTGATTTGCATGATTTGCCTGGTTGGAAGGCATGTTGGTTTTGGTAGAGGGGCCTCTGTTTCAATGAGGATTCCCTGATGTACTTTTCAATGAGTTTCTGTGTCACCTTTAACTTAAAAGACGATAAGCTAATCGGCTTGTATGACCAGGCCTGAGATGGATCTCTGCCAGGTTTTGAGATGAAAACCGCTTCTACTATTCTCCAGGACCCAGAAGAATATAGCTTGTTGCCAGGCTAGCCCTGCACAGCCTGCAGAGGTGTGCTTCTATAAGGTCCACCGCCTCTCGTAGAAGCGCTGGTATTATTCCAAGTGATGGGAAATCTGATAAAATCAGCAACAGTGCTAGTACACCATAGAGTTGATTCGAAAAATCTAGGCCGATAGGCGATCCTTTGTTTTGTAGTTTGTGATATCCTTGTGCAAACTCTCAGACTGATATGTCTAACGTTCAACACAACCTAATTATGAAAGGATGCACAATCTGACTCGGCGAACTTCGTATCGGTTATCAGAAATGGCGCCGTATACGGATTCAATGAATTATCTTCTCAAATTTGTTTTTCGTGATTTTTTTCTATTTTCCTATAGTTATTATATTAGTCGAGGCAAAGACACATCCAACAAAGCAAAAATCATAAAAATCGGTCCAGCCGTTCTCGAGTTATAAATGTTGTCACCGACATGACTTTGTTTTATTTATACAGATCGCAAAAGCAGTTCGGCTAACAGAATTTGTTGGAAAACACTGGCAAATGAGTGACGCCAATAAAATCAAAAGTCAAAATATCGAAAGTTGAAAATATTTCCAAATATGGAAAAAAAAAGGCGGGACTTTTTGTCCCCATTAAAACCGAATTTATGGTAGGTACATGTTTCAACAAAATTAACGTTTCATCATTTTTAACTCGTTAACACCGATTTAAATGACAATTGAGGACTTATCTTTCAAAAACATGTTATTGTATTTATGGGCCTTTTTCTAATAAGTTACAATTTAAACCTTGATAACTGTTGCTATGTCGATAAAAAATATATATTTTTTTAAATGCATTGGATTCGAATTTGTAGAATCTATGCAGTTTGATGCAAATGTAAATTGTAAATAATTATTAGAGGCCAAATGAAAAATAAATTGTATCAACTTCTGATTCATTCATTTTCACAAACAAGCATAAGTTTATATATAAAGCATGTATTTCCAGACAGGTACCATTAGATAAAATAGGCATTTTCTCATTAATGTTTATCCCAATACAATCGCTTGGACTAAGTACCTATATGTTCCAGGAGGGCGATACAAAGTACAAAGTTTTGGAGTAGAGATTGAGTCACATTATTGTTAAACTAATCTCTATACTCTAAAATTTTCTGGCTCTGCCTGCCGAAGCAACTACAACCTAATTAATTAGCCAATACTTTCACTTTCCAATTCTCATTAGTAAACATAACATAATATCACATTTTCCTTTACGCAAAAGCTTGGTAAACATATGAGCTAAATTTTTTTCACTACTGACATAAGTATACTATTTCTAGCTCCTTTCAGAACCTAAATATTTTATAAAGCGTGATTCAATGTCTACCTATCTACTTGCCCCGTTTCGAATTTCCATAACTTTTATTCATAGAGATGGCAGAGATAGAGATATATATCGTCGTTTTCTGCTGTAGATGAGGTAACAGTCTGTTTTTTGGAAAACCTGATTGCATTACCAGATTAGCAACATACATCAACTGGACCACTTGTTCTTCCTGTCACTTTTATTACCAGCCCAATCTGGTGTTTTTGAAAGAGCGTGTCAACGGTTTTCCAGCAATCCACAAAGCTTGATTTGGATACGTATACAATACCCTATTTAGTTCTGAAACTTTGGATCTATCAACAATGAGCGCCTCGGGTGCTTTGATATAAACATCTGACCCAACATTCGTAATTCAGAAAGGCTTTTAGAATGTCAAACTGACATATTATATTCCATCCCTGTAGTGATTAATTTACTAGAAATGTCCTAGTGGCCAACAATTTTGCATCTAGTACATACATAGAGCCAAAAGGATTCTGCTTCTAGATCTAGAACCCTTAGCCACTGAAATGAACGAGCCTTTCTTGAAACAATCTCTTTGTCCAAATTTGAAGTGTGACACCAACTAGCTTTCTAGTGTTGCTACTCAGCAGATTTCTGAGTCTCAAAAAGAGTTTGAGGATCTTCCGCAGAACGTATATACTTCATATTCTTCCATGTGCTTGGAGGTATATTTACCTGCCTCCCGGATCCTGAAAATTTCAGGCTCTAAGTTTCTCTTCTGTATCATCATGTAAATCAGTCCTGTCCAACAAGAGGCCCGCGGCATCACTTTTTGTGGCCCGCGGAGCAGACCTCTGAATTTGTAAATTACTCTCAAATACGAAATATGCACAATTCTCACATTAACCATAAAATACAATTAAAAAGTCATGTGACGCTACTGGCAAAGGATTGAAGGTCGCAGCGAAACGAAGCAGCTGAGTAAGTGACTTATCAAAAAGAGAACATCTATGTTTTGACTTTATACATTTCATGTTGGAAAAGCTGCTTTCTCAAAGATACGTGCTTTCCAGCACTGAGCCCAGTGTAAGCCCTAAGTTTCACAGGTTGGGGTATCGTTCTTCTGGCAGCAACTTGAAAAAGTCTAATCCATCCATCCCAGTTCTTCCTTGGTAAAAAGGATCTGATTGCAAATCACACAATTCCAGTTGAAGGTCTGCTCTGCTCACATTCTCAACTGAAATTGTAAGGGGCTGAGGGAGAACTGAAATCTCTCTTCCGATTTTTTTGAAGTCGCTAAATCGATTTTCGAATTCTTCTCAATGTATTTATGTTATCTGAGGTAAATTTGAAACTTCCTCAAAATCCGTCATTTCTTCAAAATGCTCTTTACAACTTGGGAAAAATGAAAAACCATTTTTTCTAATGAAGACTTGAAGAGCCTAATTTTTTTAAGAACTGGAACTGGATTGGACATTTTCAAGTTGCTGCCAGAAGAATGATACCCCAACTTGCGAAACTTAGGGCTTACACTGTGCTCAGTGCTGAGAAGCACGTATCTTTGCGGAAGCAGCTTTTCCAACATGAAATTTAAGTATAAAGTCAAAATATAGATGTTCTCTTTCTGATAAGTCACTAACTGAGCTGCTCCGTTTATCAACAACAAATGTTAAAGTTAATATTGGTGCATTGGTAAGTGAGAACCAACATCCTCAAATTTCCCACTAATTTTTTTGTAATTTGAATATTTTTGAGTAAATGGAAATATCGCAAACGCGTTTTTTTCTGTATACCATACCTATTAAAACTCAAGGATGAAGTTACTTCCGAAGTATTTTATAATGTGGCCCCCCAAACCGTATTTTTGTTTAAAGCGGCTCTTGGGGATCTTGAAGTTGGACAGCCCTGATGTAAATCATCCTCAGATTTACCGTTTTCGCTGTGTACTTAGCTATACTCAGATTTCTGTTTAGAAATGTCATTATACTAGACTCCCTACTTTCATAGGAACCTTCTTGATTTGTTCCTTCATCGACGTACAAAATCATCGTCTTTTCCTGCAGGTTTTATTTCTCTGAATATTTCTCCATTCTGCTTCTCGCTCTCAATCAGCCACCTTTTGTATTTTCGCCATAACCTATGGGTTGAAAGCAGTTACTAAAATTTTGGATCGGGTATTCTGTGAGGTCAATAAAACAATACCCGCTATGATCATAAAAGCTAACTTTATTTAATATAAAAGGTTTGATTAAACTGATATACAGATTATACTTGTCAAACTTAGGTTTAAAGCTTTCTATTAGATACCTAACTCTTAACTTGAATAGCCAAAACTCTACTTTATCACAGATTCTCTCAACCTAAAATTGTGAGTTTCGGAAAAAACTCTATGGAAAAAATTAACAAACAACAAACTAAAAACAAAGAAAAATGTCAAAAGCACACGGCAGCAACATACGATAAATTCGATAGATAGCTCTGTCATTCTTCAAATAGACACGTGCGTTACATGCTATCGACAGGACAATTAATAGTCGACGTACATACAAATATAATAAAGGCGCCTCTGCTAGTATTCCGTAATTATTTCTATTTTCAGGAGCTTCTTTTCTGAATGTGGACTTTGTTTCCTCCATGAAATTTTCCAGCACAGTGGGATTATTATGGAACTAAAGTGTGTATAGTTGGGTCACTCTAAGTTTGAACACCAAGCTGTTTTTGCTCGTTTGGTGTTCTGCCTTACAGTGAGCGGACTTTACACCACAACACCAAGACAGCAGCGTTATATTTTTTAGATTGATTTTTTAATTATGGTTTTGGGATGAAATTGACGAATGATAACCTCTCAATCGACGAGATTAAATAAAACGTGGTTACCAAGAAATCTTGGTGGATCTATGGAAATTTAAATTTAACTTTACCTATTTATGAGACGGTGATTTATCATTTCCAACTAAAAGCATATTAAAAAAAAGTATTTTGTAATTCTAGAAGTAACAGATTTTTTTTTTTTTTGAAATCCTAGATGAATTTTGTGAAGAGTTCCCACACAACTTTATACCAACTCCCGGCTATTGGATTGAATGTTCGAGACAAAAAATCACCACTGATACCATTTGGGATGAAAGCGAAAGTGATCACGATAATGAAATTCAAGAAGGCAATGAAGAAACTACTGATGGTACTGACCAGGAAAATGGACATCATGAAATGCGAAGAAGAGACAGAAGTGAGAATTAGAATTTTAAATTTATATCAACCTGAATTGCATCTTTTTTCTTTCAGGCTGTGATGATTTATACGAAGACGACGAAGACGATGACAATTCATTACCGCGAAAGAAAACGACGATTGAAGAACAGTGGGAAAAGAATCAGGGCTTTGAGCTTACCAGCGTGGAACAGGAAACTTACGAACGATATTTCTATGGTACTGAACATTGGAACTATTTCACTAACGATGAGGATTTGGGGCCCGTTATATTGTCCATTAAACAGGAAACTCTGAACAATCGGGACCAATTTAGGTAAGAATTGTCACCAAAATGAAACAAAAAAAATCTCTCATCATATTATCTGTTATTTAAAGCCTTCCTTATAGATCCTAGAAATTTCAATATTTCAAAAATAAATGACAAACAAGTAAATTTCATGGCTTTCAAAGACGTTCTGCTTATTTTAGGATATTGGTTCGAGCAATCAGCTACACAGTCCACGGTCTGATACCGGCAAGTTGTGTGTTCGCTGACCGATATAATCGAGAAGAAGTGGTTAGATCCTTGGGGAAAGAAGTAAACATCAATCCACCATTAATATTAGGCCAACTGCCCGATACTCCTGAGGAATTGCTGAAACTGGATCAGGTTTTCATAAAATCCGAACTTAAAGTTGGCGTGATTTACGTGAAAGAAGGCCAATACACTGAAGAAGAGATTCTTGACAATAATGACAATTCGATGCTTTTTGAAGAATTTTTGCAAATATTAGGGGAAAAGGTTAGATTACGTGGCTTCGATAGATATAAAGGTGGTTTGGATACTGTTCATGATCTAACAGGTTTGTACTCAATTTATACAAACTGGAGAAACATTGAAATAATGTTCCATGTGAGTACACTGTTGCCATATGAGAGACACGATCCTCAAAAATTGCAAAGAAAAAGGCATATTGGAAACGATATTGTTTGTGTGGTGTTTTTGGAAGCTGATAATACTTCATTTTCACCTGCCTGTATAAAAAGCCACTTTCTACACACTTTTATATTAGGTGAGCATCAGAACACTTAAAATTAATTTTAAAAATCTAATAAACCTAAATTCTAGTTCGTACATCTCCCCGAATCAAACGCAAACCCACTCGTTATGAAGTGTCAGTAGTAACCAGAGATGAAGTTGGGGCTTACAAGCCTTACTTATGGGAACAGAGTCTTTTTGATAAAGGCCCTATGTTCAGAGAATGGATCTTAACCAAAATTGTCAATGGAGAAAGAGCCAGCTACTCTGCGCCGAAATTTGCCAGGATGCAAGAACGTACCAGATCTCAAATGCTAGAAGATATTGTTGCTAATTTACAAAATCACGCCGAAACTGGACAAATACCCAAACCTTATAGAAGAGGCAAGAGTTTGTTGGGTTTTTATTTTGATCTTATTCTAATTTTATTTCTTTTGCAGGCTCCTGGAGACCTATCGGTCATATGAGACCTTCGTCACCACTATTGGACAGTGTAAGAGACCAGTTTGAGGATTATGATCAAATTGCTAAGGATTTCACTAAGTTTTTCCTCAATACAGGTTTGTCTTTAACTTAAAATACCTACATAATGTCTCATCGGTATTTTATTGTTTTTCGTTGCAGAAGACAATTCCGCAGCAAATGCCCTATTGTTCGATGTTACATTTATGGTTGGCCAGAGTAAACAAAAAGTCAAGCTAGTTGGAGTAAGAGCTATCCTTGGTGTAAGGAGTAGAGTGTTCCAAGAGATGTTGTACGGAATACAAACTGGGTGAGTTGGCATAGTTGATTCCACATTTTAATTGCACTCATGGGCCGTTTATGAAAGAAATAAAGATTGCTAATTTCATGGAATTTCTCCTGATACATTGAATATGTTTTTAATTCATGACGGTTGGGATTAAAAGTGATTGAATTACGATAACGCAGCACGTTTGTCAGTGAATCGAAATAAATATTAAGTATAAGGATAGTAAGAGAGAAGTACCAGGTAAAATAAAAGAAAAACATGTGTGCAGTTTCAGTGGAACCTTCATAAAACTAAAGTGAAAAACTGTATGAATGAGTGGGAAGACTTGAAGTACCGCTCCAAGAGGAGACGAAGTTGGTGTCAAAGATTTGTAGGCTTCTCCCGAAAGAGGCCTGCTTCTTCCTGGTTGGTAAAGGCTCTTGGGGTGTTAGCCGTACGCCTTCAAAGTTATTCAGCCTTTTGCAGAAGTGAGCAGGGCGTTCACAGATTAAATTTTCTGTTGCTCGTTCCCGAAATCTGCAGTGGTTGTTGTCTGATTTGATTATTGTTCTCTGGTGATATTTCACCCGGGAATGCCCAGTGAGAAAACTGACGATTGTTCTAATGCCTCTTCTGTTCATGTCAAGAAGTTATTCAGATCTCTTTGCTGAGATGGATATGAACCTTGTTGCCTGTCTCAGACCCGGAATGGATCTCCAGTGAGCTAGCATTCAATCCTTTTCCCATTTCTTCGGAGACGTGGCTTTTCATTCACAGAAATGCTCTGGGCATTGAAAAGGTGTTAAAGCGCCTTGCTTTGCGAGTTGGTCTGCCTTCTCGTTACCCTCTATGCGCTGGTGTCCTGGCAACCACATCAGGGTTACTTTGTTCTTCCCATCCAGTTGCTTAAGGATATTTTTACCCTCCCAAACTAGCTGCGAATTACACTAGATTGCTCCTTGAGCGCTTGACTGTCGGACAGTATATAAATATGCTCTCTTGAAAGTCCTGTTTTAAGGCACTCTTGGACGTCAGAACGAATTTCACTGGTTAAAAACACTCAAAAATAGTCAAAAATCTAGTTTCAGCCAATGAAATTGACGACTGGTTTGTAAGAACAGACCTAGTGTGGGCGTTTTACTCATTGCTAAGGACAGTTTGAAATTTGGTTCAGTTATTCCCAGACTGACTCTTTCCGTTAGCGCAGAACCATGTGTGTATAACAATGATGCCTTGGCCGCTTACGGTTACGGTTTTGAGTTCTTCCATGTTCCATGAGTTCTTTTAGAACCACTTCATATGGAATGTCAAAGTCCAGTGATGTTATCGATCTGTTGGTTTACTTTGGCACTCGATCTTTATAGATTGAAGGGTGCGTAAGTGGCCATTCAGATCACCAGGTTTAAATTTTTTTGTCTGAATAGCCTATAGGCATCTATTCTTGCCTTTTTTCACATATCATATAGGTGAAGAGTAGGCATGATCAGCAGTGCCTCTAAGGCTGCGGTGGGGCAGGTTGACATAGCCCCTGTTATTCCTAGACAGATTAGCCTTTGTACTCTACGTAAACTGTTCTGTGCAGTAGTTTGCTCAGTCTACGTCCACCATACCAACGAGGCGTAAGTGGCAATAGGTCTGACAACCATTTGGTAATTTCAGTGTCCCCTTTTTGGTCTTAGTCCCCATGGTTTTCCCAGGAGTTTGCGGCATATCCGAATTATCGCCGTAGCTCCAGATATTGTTTTGTTCAGATGGTTGTTCCCGGTATATTTGCGGTCCAGGGTCACCCCTAAATACATAACTTGAAAACTGGGGGCTTGCGGATCCAGCTTCCTTCCTTCCGTAAATGGAACCAAGGTTGTTTTGCTGGAATTTATGGAAAGTTGTTCTTCTTTGCTCCAGTTTTTGATCATATTCAGGCACTTTGCATTCGGCCTCTGATTATTACCACCAGATAATCTGCATAGCTTAGGACACTTATTCCGACGTTGCAAGGATGCTGTCTTCCACTAGTTTCCACAGGAGAGGCGAAAGGACATCACCTTCTGGGCAGCCTTTATCCGTGGTGACAGTAACTGTTTCGCCGTTCAAGTCCGCCGATACTGAGCGATGTATTAGCATGGCGTCTGTCCATTCTATAATGGGTCCCCCCTATCCTCAAGAGCTTTTCTGATAGATCGGTGTGAGGCATTATCGAAGGCACCCTCTATATCTATAAAAGCTGCAAGAGCGATTTCTTTTGCCTCAAATGCCATTTCTATGTCTGTTACTAGACAATGTAGTGCACTTGTTGTGGATTTGCCTGCTCGGGAGGCAAATTGTCTTGGATGAAGCGGTCTGCTATTTAGAATTTCGCTTCTGATATATTGGTCTATTGCTTTCTCCATGGATTTGGGGAGAAAAAAAGTTAGGCTTATGGGTCGATAGGTTTGGTTCATCCTCTGGCCGACGTCCTGCCTTTGGTATGAATGTCACACCAGACCTCTAGACTTTTGTGGTTCCCTTCCACTTGGCCGACCTGCTACGGAAAGCACTTACGTTCTTAGAGCTATAACCTCATCATCCACCGGCTCCAAGACACGAGTTACACCCGGTAGGTTTCCGCAGGACAACAGCCTGTCGTTCACCCACTTACTGGCACTGCTGCCATTGAATGCGCAACGGGCAGGACGGTGTCCCTCCTCTACACTATTTTCCCGGGTATGCTGAGCCACTCTCACCTTTCCGCCAAGAGGAAAGGAGAGACGCTGGGCCTCCCCACCAACGTCAAGGTCTCGCAGCTCCTTGGTGAGGAACAAAACTTCCTGACCCCTAAACCCCATAATGTAAGTCACGTCATAATTCCTTAACAAACTTGAATAGATCAGATGAGTCAGTGATCCCGTTTATTGAGGGTTACTGCCAATGTTTAGAATTGTCCATCTTGTGGGTGCTGGTGAGGAAATGCCCAAATTTGCCGCAATTACCTCATTTTCCTAATAAATGGATGCTTTGGAATGGAAAGAGAGGTAAATAAGGTACTATCCAATGAGCAGTACCTAAGGTCTCCTGATCTAAATCCTTCTGATTTTTTTTCTATGGGACCATGTTGAAACGAAAGATGGTTATTTTGGAAGATTCTAGCCATTCTCACGAAATCTCGCAAATATCACTAGGAATGCCTCATATAATATGAATGAATGAATACATTTTATTACTCCTATTTTTTTAATTGTTACATCAATGATATAGATGACGTTATCACTAATAGTGAATACTTGATATACGCGGATGACTTGAAAATATACAGAGTTGTAGAGGATATAGGAGTAACTGCCTCATGCACCTCAAGATCTCAAAATATTTTGCCATATCTCTTCACCATAAAAAAGGCCTTACCTACAATTACTTTGTAGGTGGCTCTCTGATCTCCAGAGTTGGTCAAATAAAAGGCCTCGGTGTTACCTTCGACACTCCACTTCTTTTTGATGCCCATATAGCGAAAGTAACAAACAAAAGTCTAAAGCTTCTTGGCTTTGTGGGAGGACATTGACTGATTTCAATTATGTTTCGTGTTTTAAATGTGTATATTGCTCTATTGTCCGATCAGTTCTTGAATTTGTAGCCCCCATATGGGCTCCACATTGTGGAGATCTACAGGGGACATATTAAAAGAGCACAGAAGAAATTTCTTCGCCTTGTCGCTTTCAAACAGGGTGTTCAACGGGAAGATGTAGTCTATAATGATAGAATCTTCCATCAATATAGTATCTCTGAATCAAAGACGCATCAATCTAGATCTCACACTGTTTTATAAAATTATTAATTCGCTAATTGATGCCCCTGACTTACTTCGGACGATAGGTTTTGTGAATGAAATACCTCTGAAGAGAATAGAACCATAGCATGGTAAGAGCCTGTTTCTGCATTAACCTTAGACAGGAAAGAAACTAAATGATTAAGAAACCATGATTTCTGACAAACGAAGAATTAGAAACAACAAAGGAAGAGTACCTGGACGAAATTACAAAAAGACTACCATCAATAGGAGTCCTAGACCACATAGATATAAAACAATTTAACGAAGTAATATCGTGTATCCAAAACTAAGAAGGTTTGTTCAAAGGTGAAGAGACGAAAGCACTCAAGGCTAAGCATTAGGTAATAACACCATCAAACTGATGAAGTAAATAAGACAACTAGCGAAAGGTATACAAGACTTCAAAGATGTGAACAAAATGGTGAAGAAGGCAGTACGAAGAGATCTAAGAACCCATAAAAGTAAAATAACTTACGAAACAGTAGACCATGACAAAAGCATGCTGATACGCTGATTTTGTTCTTCGTAATACGGTCAATACCTCTTTTTCTTTGAAAGGCAATAAAACTAAGGCACGCAGGCCATGGTACACAGCGGGCCTCAGAATTTCTTGCCGAAACCTCCGCTGTTTCAGCTTGATTAGGAGATTCACTGATGATGTCAATTTTATAAGTAACTGTAGAAATTACCTTGTGTCCCCTAATAGACTTATCAGGGCCGCTAAGGAGTAATATTTGAATAATGGACTGCCAAAAATATGTCTGGGGAAGCGTGTTCCATGAATGAATTCCAATCGACCGCACTGATGGCGTTTCTGAAGTTGAGTTGAGGTTAATCTTCATACTTTAAATCAATATTATTGCATTGCAGTATTTCCTCCCCGCTATCGAACACCGATCCAATGTACTGCTGTCGCATAAGCAATAAACGGTTCATTCACGGGGAATGTTTCCTAAATGGCTACTGTTATTCTATTTATTGGGATAGGGGATTGATCGGGATGATCCGTCAGACTTTCGCCCAATTTCTATATTGTCCACACTTTTGCGACGCTGCACCGTCGATCTGTTCCAAACCGTCACAGAACCATCCCAAGAACGGTTTTGGAACCATTCTGTATAGGAATTTCAGATTCTACGCACAAATTTCAAGTTCTGCACAGAATCCTGGCGGTAAAATATCCCTGCTGGGATGGAACAAAGCTATATGATATCAAATATATGATATTTTATACTCTTTTAAA